AGAGAGAAAAAAGAGGAAGGAGGCTCTCGTATGCGCCGAGAGCGTTGGCAGTTTATAAGGGTCCCCCGTATTGTGGATACGTATTATCATGCTAAATATAACATGTTAACTACTTCGCATAATGTCGGCCCGCGATCCTCTCGATTCTCTTTGCCTGCGTTACGCACGGCCGTTCGACGAATCGCGTTTCCGCGCCCAGAAAATTTTATTGCCGATGCAGTTCGGCAGATGCGGCGCGGTCCTCGTGCCGAAGGCGACGCACTCGCTTCTCCCGCCGGGTTCCCAGAGAAGCCCCGGGCTTCTGGAAACGAGAACCTCCCTCGGCGTGCTACAACCAGCAAGCTACGCCATGTACCACGTACGATTCGTTATTTATGAACAGTAGCTTTCTCATGCAAAGTCCTCTCGTGTCGCCAGGATTTATGGTAATTGGGCGCGGAAGTGAGCTGGAATATTCCGTGGATCGGAGCGCGTGTTCACCAATTCGTAGAGGCGATGACGATGTCAACGATTTCGATAGCCTTTCTCCGTTCTCTTTTAAGCTTCAAGTTGAAATCAAGTCAGTCGAAGGCTCGAAATGCCTTCTGAAACTTCACGAAGATTTCCTTCAAATTTAGTTCGACAGATACTCGCCACTTAGCTATTTCGCGGAACTTCGCCTCGAATTCAAGCAATTCGACCATGAACGAAGCTGGCAAACAACGAATCTGTAACGGATGAACGATAGAAAGGAACGCGTCGACGTCCATCGTCGTTTTATATTTAGTAATGATTGGAAGGCACAGATATTTATTCGCCTTTATACCCGTTTTTTACCGAGAAAAGCCACTGTTGCGAAACATAGCGCGCCATAATCGTTATTGATGAGACACATTACGCCGTGGCGGACCTTGAAAATCTATGAATTAATTATATTCCTTTCGCGCTTAGGAACGTTAGGCGGCGAGGTGGCCGATGATATCGTCATCGAGACGCGAGAAATGACAAATGTACCGCGAACGTCGACGTTGTTGTCGATTCAACTCCCGATGCCTGTCTACGTCGTAAAACACAGTGTTGTACAATAAATCGCTCTGCTCGTTAGCTAATGCCGTATTAACGTTATTACAACTTCCCACCGGGTATAAAGATTCAACGAGCGAACGATTCCGAGCGAGAGGGACAAGGGAAAAGAAGAGAACGACCTCCTTGGGAAACCTGTCATTATCGTATCAGCGGGACGTTAAAATCTATCCTTTCGCGAAGGAGACCAGAGAAAAAGAAAGCTCGCCTGTGATTAACCTATCGACGAGAGCGCGTTCAATAAAAACAACGTCGTTCAGCGTGGTTTGTATCGCAACGAAGTTTATATCCACCTATTTAACGTCACTTGCAACGGAAGCGTGCTGTCTCGTAATTACATTTTCCTTTTTTCTTTTTTTTTTTTTGTGGACACATTTACATAATAGATTTCACGTCCGTTGTGCGAGATTCTTTGGAAAATTCAACTTGACATAATAAACGGAGAGGGGAGGTGTGGAATTGTCTTTGTAAATTGGAAAACTTTTAACTCTGTCGATAAGTCGCTCGAGACAATCAAGAGACAGTGAGTTGCTGTCTACTCGTCGAGAAAAGAAAATGATTCGAAATGATTAGAAAGCGAGCCGCAGTTAAAGTGTCGAATCTCCACGGACTGTTGAAGGGGTGTGATGGGCCAGAAGCTGCTGGTGCAGGAGGCGCCTGGCTCCGGTTCCGGTTCGACGAATCGCATGGAAGGCGGCGAAGGGGCCGCAGGAGGGGAACTACACCACTTCCTTCATCAGTACAACCAGCAATCGCACAGTCCTGGCCAGAGCCTACAGGGTGGCCTTCCGCTTCCGCTCAGCCCGCAGTCCCTCAGACACGACGGTTCCTCGAGCACCGGTATCACCGGAGTCAAGAGGGAACCGGAGGACTTGAGCTCGTCGAGAGGGGCACAACAATCCAGCAAGAGGCACAAACAGGCGCAACCGGACAGCCCCACGCCACCGGGGATGTACCATCATCATCAGCATCAACTACAGGTGAGACTGCTTACTCGCTTCCTATGCTTCCTGTTCAACTTTTCAACTCCCTCCAAACGTTCCAAAATAAACGTCCTATTTACAAATGACAATACCTGTTAATGTTAGAGCTGCTAATCTACCTTTGCCTACCATACGTTCTAACCTTCTCGAAAGCATTTAATAATTAATTGATCTTTTAACTTTGACGTAACGAAAGTACGCAATGTGGATGCTTGAAAATTTTGGAACGGAGATACAGAAGGTGAACTGCACGTTTTAACAATTATATTTAAATATCTGTTGAAAAAGAATCTTGTTTGTTGAAATGGATCTCGTTTGAAACAAATTCGAGAATCACAAGCAGAGTCACCCATTAGCCGTAGATTTTCTCCACAGTCTAATTGTAAATATACATATACGATACGACAGCAAGTAAAAGTTGTATAAGCCAAGCTGTCAAATAAAGTATCGCTGCCTATCTCTGCGCGATGAAAGAAATTCTTAAATAGACGCAGGCACTAAATCACGTTGAATTATGTTAAAAGGTTCGATATCGAGGACTGGAAATTAATAAGTAGATTTGAGTCGTCTATTTTGCGTTTCTCGAACGGGCCAGTCTCTTCTAATTTCCCTAGACAGGTCTGACGAGGGAAACGAGTCGAAAACCGAGAGAAGCCTGACAGAGATTATCGACATTATCGTGGCAAATCCGTGCCACAGTAACTTTCAGGATTTCAGTCCGACCTTTTAGCAAAACGTGCGTGTCTCGGCACACACTATACAACACCGGACTCCATCGAATCCGTTCTGCGCTCCATTACGATTAAAATACTTGACCAGCAGATCGAAACCAGTAAGAAGAAAAACATGACATTGCCTGCTCCGATCTAGATATACGCGCCCGATACAAATAAGCTTCGTTATCTCCGATCCATTATGACAAACCCACTTGACGCTATCTAATTCCAGATCTAGATAAAAGTTTCTGGATATTCAAGCACGCGACCTCGAGACGAATACTTCACGGCGCGCGCTGTGTTTCCATGATTTCTAATCCCGACCGATCGGCCGTTTCTAATTAATCAGATTAGTTGAAAAATTTCGGAAATTCCGCGAAAATTCAGTTCGTGACGGAAAAGATCAAACTTCTACGAAGAAATTTTATCTGAATTTCAAAATTCCACCTCGATCCGGTGGTTGGTTTGTAAACAAATGAAAGAAATAAAAGAAACAGTCATTCTCAGGTTTCATACAGAAGTTTCAGGGATTTCGATTTAAAGGAGAAAATAAATAAAGTAGACAGAAAGGTTTCTCCGGTTTGTAAATGAACGAAGAGAAATGAAAGAAATGAAAATTCCAGGTGCAACAGTACGGCAGTCCCTACGATCCCTACAGCTCGTGCAGTCCACGACTGCAGTCGGCGGCGTACACGTCGACCTCGGCGACGGGCGCGGCGAATGCTGGAAACCCGAGCGGATTGCACCAGGAGGCGACAGCGGTCTACGTAACCGGCGACGCTCTACCACCCCTGGCGTCCTCGAGTTCGTCCTCGTTGTCCACCACGACCGCTTCGTACACGAGGTACGAGGTTGTGCCAAGCTCTTACACGACGACACACGCGATACGCTCGTCCTCGAGCAGCAGCAAAGTCCTGACCGTTGATCTTCCCAGCCCTGACTCCGGCATCGGCGCGGACGCGGTCACGCCCAGGCAAGATCATCATCCGCCCACGGCGCTCCATCAGGTTAGTTGTTCCATCCTAATTCGATGATCATTCGACTTTCGTTCGCTTCCCTATATAGTGAAGAATAACACTCTCTGTTCGTTCGTTACGCAACGTAACGAATGCCCGATTTCTAATAGTTTAATCACGATCGCGAGATAAGGATTGCAAGCGTTGAAATTCAATGTCTCTTTGCCCCGCGCGTGGAGCGTACACGATTTAACGGCACAAAGGAGATCAATCTTGTACGTCGGGTACGAATCTCGATCACGGCGCTCGATCTCGAGGAATGTTATCGCCACGTCTCCATTAAAATCTAATATGCCGATCAATTAATTCCACGGCGGACGCAACGCCCTATCATCAAATCGTTCGAATGGTAATTCTGTTTGAATAACTCAGACAGACAAAATCGTGTTACAATAACTGGAAATTTTTTATCTTGCGAATATCGCGCGTCAGGCAGTTCGTTTCAATCGCTTGAACGCTAGACGAAGATCTTCCCTTCCGGAAGAGACGTCCCTTCCCTTTCGATTATGAACTTCCCTTTTGTGTCTAGCTGTTAAATGGAAGGACGCCATTTGATGAAACAACGAACGTTGAACGTTTATCGTGGCCGTATCGCCGCAGATATAACTCCTTCCATGTACGATAATCCTACTCTCTGAAGCAGAACCACGTACACGGCCTGGTAACGATACCACGATACTACGATTTGCATAATCAACAACGCATATCTATCAGGAATATCGTCGCGTTCGTTCGTAATCGACAGGAATCTTGTAATAACTGCCACGTTCCTCCTCCCCGCCGCTCCTCCGTCGTCCACCGCCTTTATCCGGAAATCGCTGAGAGAAAACGCAATTGGAACAAACTCGAATTAACAACGATTATAAACGACGGAGATATTTACCTTGACGTGAGTTCTATAATCCAGTTTTCGAATACCGAATGGGACTCGAAATGTGAATTTCACCGCCGTCTATCAGTGGAAATTATCGACGGCGAATTACTACTTACCGCCTATTACGGCCCATTTGCCACCTGCTCGATAATTCTAAATGGCCGCGCTGATACCACTGAACGTTTGCTTCGAAGCCGATTCTCTCTAATATCGATTCGTAAATTTTAACCTTTTGACTGATGAAAGGCGTGTACGTATATACACGCCACTCGCGGGTTTGTCGATATATGCGGAAGGCCTTTCAAATTTTCCTTACTGCAACGCATTTATACTGTTTTGTTAAATTGCTTATCTAACACAGAACTTGTCGTCTCGTGTAACATAGCAACTGCAAATAGCTGAATATCGACTGTTTCAATGTTTTTATTAACACTGTTCTCAATCTCAATTTCGCTGTTCTTGTACGCGTACACTATCGTGTAATCACGCCGTGAATTGACTCGTATAAACTCATTGCTTCGCTATGCATACGTAAGTGTTTGTTTATTTCAACTTGCGATCAGTTTTA